GGGTCTCGGGTCCCCCGGCTGAGCGTTTGCTGGGGGGTCGCATTATGTAACGGACACGCTTGGTTTGTTGAGCCGGGACGGGAAACTCCCTGTTCCAGGGCCGTGCTTGGAAGACTCCAGAGGGGCGCGCAGACCTGGGGCGGCCTCCGCGCTCCACCCTGCCGCCCGCGGCGCTGAGACGCCTGCGGTGAACCCGGCTGTCCGTCCTGGGCCTTTCTGAAGGAGTAAATTGATTGAGGTATAATCTATGGAAAATGCACGCACTGCTAACGCGCAGTGGAGTTTTGATAAAAAAAGTTCGTGCGCCCTGGTGAACAACACTCCCAGCGCCCTGAAGGGGTGGCAGGGTGGAGCGCACTCCTAAAAGTGGGTGGATGGATGGATGCTCTTACCTGGCCTGCACCTGTTCTGCCGCCGCGAGTGGCTGTGCTAACTCACCTGCACGGTCTGCGAGCTGCGGGCTGCTCCCGCTGCACCAGAGTTTAAAGGGGCTGTGCAAAGCCAGGCAGGAGATGCCCTGGTTTGAGAAGGGGAGCTGGTGTGGTGTGCAGTCGGCCCCTCCTGTGGCCACGTGGCTTTTTGGGCTGCTTTTAACAGTGATTCTGGAGAGGCTTCTTGTGCTGTGGATGGCCTCCTGGTGGGAACGCTTGTCCCCGTGCAGAAGCGCCAAGTGTGGAGCCAGATACAGCGCCTGTGGGTGTCGGGAGGTGGTGGGCTGGTGAGGTGGTTGGGCAGAGCGACCGATGCCCACTTTCCCTGTCACAGTCAAGCTTTCACGTTACGGAGTGGCTGTGACCGTTAAGTGCTGTTCTTCCCGTGCAAAGTGGCCACATAAAGAGCTCAAGGCCCTTTGGGAGATTGTGGGTTTTGAAGGGCTGGTTAGAGTTGGGGCTCCTTGGTACTCTGCTGTCAAGGAGAAAGTTCCACGTTTGCTCTTGCGTCTGATGAGTAGCCACTGTCGCTTTTGCACCCTCCCTCACCCAGTAGGGACCCCTGAAGGTGTGGCGGGACGCATCAGGGTCCCTCTGTTGCAGGCTGTGGTGCTGACAGCCAGGGGCGCACCTACCTCCCTCAGGAGGGCTGGCAGGGCCAGGGCCTGCTGGGTGGTGGCTTGGCTGACCGCACCCCCAGAATCCAGGGCTGTGTGGGCCCCGGGAGGCCCCTGAGATGCCCCTGAGATGCAGGTGAGTTAGGGCTTGGCCGACAGTGGTGTTGTCCATGCTCTTCTTTATAGGGAATGCCTGTAAAATTTAAGATAAAATGTGGATTTCTGTTTGATGAAAGAAGTAGCTGCAGTCTGAAGGGTGTGTCTTAAAAAGCACATGTAGGGCTGCTGGGATTTCCTTGCGGGGGGCTCTTCCCGGAGCCTGGAGCCCGGGGCTCCCCCTCGGGATGTCCATTTGCTGGCCAGGCTCCTACAGTCACTTGCTTCCTGTCAGTGAAACGTGGTTTGGTGGGAGGGGTCTAGGAGTCAGCTCCTAAGGGGCCACTCTGCGTGGCAGGCGGTGGTCCGGACTCGGGGGTTCACAAGGGGGAGACTGAAAACAGACCCGTGTGGGGACAGCTGGTTGGCATCTGGAAAGAGCCAGTTCTCATAAGTCTCTGCGGCTGAGCCTGTGGGCTCCCCGGTAGTGGGGGCACCACAGGTGGTGTGGCGGTCTCTGGTGGCAGCTGAGAAGTTGCCCCGAGAGGAAGGGCCGGGCCAGGCCGGCAGAGGGCGGGGGGCTTCATGGTGGTCAGGCTGGGGCCTCCTGGGGTGAAGGCCCTGGGCAGGTGCAGGGCTTCCCTCCTGGGTCTGGGTGTGGCCACTGGCCCTGGGCGTGGAGGGAGCATTCCTGAGAGGATGAGAAGGTGGATGGACTGAGGCTGTGGCCCCAGCAGGGGTGCTGCCCCGGGGCCCCAGGGCTTGCTCCTGGGTGACAGCATTGGCTAGGAGTTGCCCTCCGTGCCTCCTGGAGTCCGGCCCTATGTGCAGGCTTTCCTGGGCTCTGGGCTAGCCCCCCAACCGTGGGGATGTGGCAGTCAGCTGTGACCTGTGGGTCTAAGAAGGTGACCGGCGGGCAGTGGGAACCGGAGTGTCCTGGGAAGGGCTTGTCACTGCCTGTGCCTCTGGAGGGTTGCAGCCTGCCCTCTCCTCCCGTCCCGGGGGTCCCTGTGGAGGGTGGCCGAAGTCCTGTTCTGAGTCCTGGGAGCAGTGGGTGGGGAGACCTCATGGACGGATGGGCTTGCTAGGAGTTTGGCTGTGGTTCACCGCGCTCAGGGGTTGTCACTTTGGGTCCCCGCGGGGAGCTGACGCGTCCTCTGTGTCTGTTTCAGGGAGCCAGTACCAAATGAGGAGGAAAGGACGAGGTCACCGCGCTGCAGCGAGGCACCCTTCCTCCCCGAGTGGCACCAAGCACTGCCCCACGCGGGAGACCCTGACCTACGCGCAGGCCCAGAGGATGGTGGAGATCGAGATCGAGGGGCGCCTGCACAGGATCAGCATCTCTGACCCCCTGGAGGTCATCCTGGAGGACGACCTCACGGCGCAGGAGCTGAGCGAGTGCAACAGCAACAAGGAGAACAGCGAGCGGCCACCCGCCTGCCTGCGCGCCAAGCGCCACAAGAGCAGCAGAGTCAGGAGGAAGAGCGAAGCCCCGCCTGGCGCCCACGGCACGCCGGCCTCGGCCTGCGCGCTGCCGGAGCCCCGGGTGCGCGTGCTGGACTACAGCCCCCCGTCCGCGCCCAGGAGGCCGCCCGCCTACTACAAGTTCGTGGAGAAGTCGGCCGAGGAGCTGGACGACGAGGTGGAGTACGACATGGACGAGGAGGACTACGCCTGGCTGGAGATCGTCAACGAGAGGCGGCGGGGCGACTGTGTGGCCGCTGTGTCGCAGAGTGTCTTTGAGTTCCTGATGGACCGCTTCGAGAAGGCTTCGCACTGCGAGAAGCAGAAGCAGGGCGGGCAGCAGTGCCTGATCGACGAGGACGCCGTGTGCTGCGTGTGCATGGATGGCGAGTGCCAGAACAGCAACGCCATCCTCTTCTGCGACATGTGCAACCTGGCCGTGCACCAGGAGTGCTACGGGGTGCCCTACATCCCCGAGGGCCAGTGGCTCTGCCGCCACTGCCTGCAGTCCCGGGCCCGGCCCGCCGACTGCGTGCTGTGCCCCAACAAGGGCGGCGCCTTCAAGAAGACGGACGACGACCGCTGGGGCCACGTGGTGTGCGCCCTGTGGATCCCTGAGGTGGGCTTCGCCAACACGGTGTTCATCGAGCCCATCGACGGCGTGCGGAACATCCCGGCCGCGCGCTGGAAGCTGACGTGCTACCTCTGCAAGCAGAAGGGTGTGGGCGCCTGCATCCAGTGCCATAAGGCCAACTGCTACACCGCCTTCCACGTGACCTGCGCCCAGAGGGCCGGCCTCTACATGAAGATGGAGCCCGTGAGGGAGCTGGCGGGTGGCGCCGCCACCTTCTCTGTCAGGAAGACCGCCTACTGTGACGCGCACACGCCCCCGGGCTGTACCCGCCGGCCTCTGAACATTTACGGGGATGTTGAGACGAAAAACGGGGTCTGTCGGAAGGAGGGCTCGCTGAAAACGGTCAGGTCCACGTCCAAGGTCAGGAAGAAAGCGAAAAAGGCCAAGAAGGTGCTTCGGGAGCCGTGCGCGGCCTTGCCGCCCGTGTGCGCACCCTACATCCCCCCGCAGAGGTAAGAGGTGGCCAGGCCCCCAACCCCCTGGCTCATGCAGGTGCCACTTGGTGGGGGTGCGGCTGTCGTGGGAGGGCCAAGTTGGTGAGCGGGCGGGTGCAGTGTCCCTAACGCCCACGCTGGCCCCCGGGTGCACGAGCCAGGTCTTGGGCCCCCAGCACCCCAGGAGTTGTTGCCACCTTCCACGCAATGAGGTGCTGTTCCTTGCCCTGCTCCCCCCTGCAGAGTTCGGGGATCTTGTCGGGATTTGAAAAGTAACGTGTTGGAAAGTGAGGCAGCGTGGCCGAGTGAGGCCAGCGCCGGGTGGGGAGTGGAGCTGGACTGATGGGGCTGCGTCGGGAGCCTTTCTGGCTTTCCTGAGCGGTTTCTTCGGGTGCGAGTCTGCCTGGAGGGGTCAGGCTCCGCCTCGCTCCTGCTCCTGCGTGCCATTCCCAGGGTCTCCCCACCCTGAACTCTTTTCCAACTCTGCTGGTTCCTCTACTACCGACTCGTTCTTTTGTCTTGTTAGGTGTAAAAACGTTCTCATTCAGAATACGGGTAAGTGACTGGGAGTTTCCCACCGGAGCCGGTGCCACGTATGGCCTGGGGAGCAGGGCCTCCGGACACGCTCGGAGCCTGGGGGAGGCGGCCCGCGCCGAGGGGCTTCAGAATGTGCTGAGGAGGCAGGGCCTCAGGACTGGGGTAAAGGTGCGCGCGTCTGCTCCCCAGAGCGCCTCGTGGGACAAAGGCACGTCTAAGGCACGGGGGGCTGCCACTCAGAATACTGCTTTAACCCGGGGGCAGTGAGTCCTTAGTTTGTACTAAGAGTTAGCAGTGTGACTTCCCAAAAGGAAGTTTTTTTGTTTCTATGGAGCAGTGCATACTCATTATGGGATCAGTAAATTCAGACAGAGTCTGTAAAAGGCGGTCATAATCCCTCTTACCCAGGGAAAGCCTCTGTTAAAACCAGGGTGTCCTTTTGGGAATTAGCCTGACTCTTAGGACAGTTTCACTTGGATTTCTGTCTGTGGCTCAAAGTGTAGGCTCTGTATGGAGCACTGAATTGTCAGCTTTACTGAAATGAAGTAATCCAGCCATGATCCAACACGTGGCAGGGCCAGCAGTCTGAGGTGCCCCCTTGCCTGTGTCCAGCCCCGTGTGGCCACCTGGCCCGGCAACGGCTGCGGGGCACAGGCCGGCCCGTGGGGCTGCAGCCATTTGCGGGTCTGGGGTGACCAGGCCTGAATGAGGAAACTTCTGCTTTGGGCCCAAACACTAGAGCGCACGGGTGGTGCGGCAGGGCGGTGTGCCGGCCGGCGGGGCGGCGTGCTCCAGCTTGTCGCCTCCGCTGACTTCAGTTGGGCGTAGAGATCAGAGACGCACCCGGGTGAGCGACTGTGGCCGAAGGCTGTGCGGTCCGTGTTGCCCAGAGCCTGGGAGTTGCCTCACCGCCCGCCGTGCTCCCGGCTGCCCTCGGCCAGTCGGCGACCCGGTGTGAGACCACCTGTGTGGCATCGGGACAGGCGCTGGGATGGAACTGTTGCCTGAGGAGCTGCTGGCCTGGCAGCCCCTTTCTCAGGACTGAGGCCCCGGGGTTGTGTAGCTGGGGAAAGCCGGGTGAGCTGCCTGCAGGAGGAAGCAGGGTTCTCTGGACGGCCTTCGGTGCAGGACCGGCTAGAGCTGAGGCAAGCCTGGGAGATCTCCGAGGAGGATCTGCCTGTGTCCCCGCAGAGAGGAGGGCTGGTTGCAAGGAGGCTGGGGAGGTGGCAGGGACTAGAAGTGCGTTTGTGATTTTGAGTGGTTCAAAGTTAGGTTTTCGAGGAAAAAAGAACTGAGACCAAGTAGCTTTAAGGTCATATGAGAGGATGTTGGTTTAATTTTTAAAAACTTTTTAGCACTTTTAAACTCCCAGGGTTGTTTTCCACATGTCTCGGTAGCAGAGCCCAGAGCAGAGATGTGGGTGTCGTGAGGCTTTGCCGGCCCCGTTCCGAGAACTCCGAGTCTGAGGGGCCCAGCCCGAGTCCAGGGCTGTTGAGGCCCAGGTGGCCCCGGCCCGTCAGTGGGGCTGTGTGCTCTCCTGGGTGGGCTGGCCGGGTCTTGGTGGGGTCCCTCGGCCCCTGAGGGTCCTGTCCCCTGGCAAGGACGAACTGCTCCTGTGTGGCTGTCCGGGTGGCACGGGGCCGTGCAAGTCTGTCTGCCTCTTCCCTCCCTCACCTGCTTTCAAAGTAAAATAAGTCGTTTTCTGACTTGGAAACACCACACATGGAAACGGAAAAGATATGAAAAGTCAAGTGTAAAGAAAAGAGAGCGTTCTGTTTTCTTCCCACTTTGCCTTCCCTTCCGAGAAGAGCCGTCGGGGCCTGCGCTGGGGCAGCCCTCTCTGTTGAAGCGGCTCTTCTGGTCCGATGCTCTCTGGCCCTGCACCCAGGACCTGCTGCTTCGCAGGGGATGGCGGGGACCAGCTGGGCAGAGGGGTGCGTGGAGTCAGAGCCTCCCGCTGCCCTTGGAGCAGTGAGCCCCTTCCTCTGGGCGCCAGATCTGGCCAGCCTTCCCTCCAGCTGCACCCTGGGCGTCGCTCTGTATCAGGGGAGGAGGGGTCTCTGCAGAGGCACAGGCCCCCCGGCCTCGTTGGTCTGGGCTCGGCCGTCCTCTCGGGAGTCCGCCACGTGCACAGTACTCAGGGCGGTGAGGGCGCAGGTGAGGACGGAGTGCAGGGCCACAGCTCTGTCTCCGAGGGACACCAGGTGAGCGGCCCGGGTGTGCGGAGGAGCCTTTTTTCGTGTTGGTGGCAGTTAACTTTGTTACATTTTGTGAGAATTCTGATGGTGGGGGCCTGGGGGAACCAGAGACGCTGCTTGGCCTCCCAGGTGGATGCCCCACGGCTGCGTGGGAAGGAAGCTCTGAAACCACGCTGCGGAGCCGGGAGCTCAGGGAGTGAGGTGCGTGGCCTGTGGGGAGCTTCCGATGGACACTTGGGGTCACACCCGGAGTCGATGGGGCTTCGAAGCGGCAGGAGGCTTTGTGATGGGGCTCCCTCACCTCCACAGACCCCGGCAGGGACTGGAATTGCGTTGGGCTGTTATCTTTATTGCAGTTTCTACCTTTTTACCTGGAAATAACTCCAGATTTACAAAATGTTGGAAAAATGGAAAAACCTGCACCCAGACTCTGCTCACCCAGAGTCCCCTCTTGCTGACGTTCCTCCCGTTTCCCTGAGTGTGGTTGGTTCCAAAAGGCGGCCACCCTCCCCTGCAGCCTCCCCGCCTCCAGTCAGAACGGGTCGGGCACCCCTTTGCTCTGGGCGTCCCCACACCTCCTCTCGTCTCCTGAGATGGGCATGTTGAAAGAGGACCCCACATCCCGCCCCGGGAGAGAGCAGTCCGCGTGCTGACGGAGGTGCGCCCGGGACCGCGGGTGCCGTGTGGCCCCGCCTGGAGGCGGCAGTGTCCCTGCTCCTTGGTAGCCAGGGAGTCGCTGGTGCCTCCGCCAGACGGTTTCTGCTTTTGATTTTTCTGGAGCTGCCCGGGGTCCAGGGGCCCCTCTTCGCTTCAGCCCAGACGGCCTGTCCCTCGGTCTCGGGGCCTCCTTTCCTTGAGGGCGGGAAGTCCCTCTCCGCCTCTGCGCTCCCTCCAGTTCTTTCCCCCAGGAACCCCCTCTTCCCTGCCATGTGGGTGGTAGGTGTGGTTTGTGGAGGGTCCACCCCACTGGGGCCTGGGCACTGAGGTGGGCGGCTCGGGGAGGCCAGCATCTGGTGGGAATTCTCGTGGAGCTGGGCTCAGCCCAGTGGGCTGTCACTATCCACCTGACCGTGGGGATGGCCGTGACTGTGGGTGACGGCGAGGCCTGGCTGGGATGTGTGGACACGCCCAACCCCGCATCTTGGGGCTCCAGGCTGTTGTCTGTGTGGTCGGAGCCCCGAGGAGGGTGTGGGTGGTCCTGACCTGCGTCGGGCTGGGCAGGGGGTCTCCTGGGAGCCGGTGCGCATAGAACCCCTTCCCTTGCGAGGTGGATTCTGGGCCGGTGGGGTCTGGAGGGTGGCTTTCACTCGTGCCCCCCTGACCCGCATCCGAGCGCTGAAGGTGAGCGGCGTCTGCTACAGAGGCGCTGACGGCTCGGTGAGTAGGGTCTAGCACCCTGCTCTGCAGAGGTGGCCGCTGGGGCATCACGGGCACTCCAGTATGTAGGTGGGGATCGCTTGGTAATGCAGTTTTTTTGTGTTTCATGACCTTTATATAAGAAGTTTGAGAACAGAAAGCTGGACTCTAATATCGATTTATCAAACATAACCAAAAAAACATTAAAGAACATCACTTTGGGGACCCTTCTAGCTCCGTTAACCACCCCCCGTCACAGTGACCACTCCTTGTAAATTGGGTGTGGGTTCTGCTAGGGCCTGTTTTTCTGGTGGTTCTGCCCTTGGCACGCGATCTGGTGTGGGTTTGGGCGTAGACCTTGAACACGGTGCTGTCGCACAGACGTGCACACACAGCATTGGTGCCACTGTGCAGCTGCATCACTGTCCCCAGAGTCAGTGCCCCGGGTCCCTGTAGTGGCGCCCAGGGCCGGCGTCCTCCTGGCACACTGTCCACAGCGGACGTGTCAGGTGTCGGTGTTCGGGTATGTCCCTCTCTGCCGGCAGCCTTGGGGTTTGTGCTCCTGTGTCTTCCTCTCAGCTTATCTTCTTGTTTTTAATGCCTTTAGAAACCTTTTTAAATTTGGAAATCTGAGAAGGGGGTGCCCGCCTGTCTGGTGGCCCGTCCGCCTCACCCATTCCTTCCTTTGATGCTTTGGGGCAGACCCCAGTCGTGTTACCTCATCGGCAACACGTCCGTGTGGATCCCGGGTGAGGGTCCTTAGAACCCGGAGCTTGCTGTCGAGAAGAAGCGGGCTTGGTTGGCACGTGCGTCCTGTCCAGGTCCTCGGCTCCTCCGTGTGTCCTCCGCGTCTGCCCCACACACGCCGCTCCCCGTGCCCACACCTCTGCCCACCCGCCCGGCCCCGGGCGTGGCCCCAGCCGCCCGCGGGGTCCTGTTCCCGCAGGAAGCCGCGCATCGCACGTGTTGGCTTGTCACGGGCTCGCTCCGTTCAGTGCTCGCTAGGACTTTACTGTTTTGTTGAAAGTTCATGGCTCCATAAAAACCTCTATAAAAAATTTAGTGTTAGAAACGGTGTTTTTTCAAGTTAGCACTTCTGGCCCTCCGTGTAGATCAGGTGTGCAGGGCGAGGAAGCGCGCCGCGGCCCCCTGAGCTTCTCCGAGCGGGTGGGCGCTCTCCTGTCTTCCCAAAGCCAGCCCCGCCCAGGGCTGCCAGCTGGGGCGCCGTGCGGGGGTTGCCTTTTTGTTCCATGTCTTCATTTTACTTCACGGCTTGTGCTTGTTACGGCGTATTTAATTGTTCCTGAGAGCCTCGTGGTGGTCTTCTCAAAGCTCCGGGAGGCCCCCTTGGCCTTGGCACGGACCCCCTGTGGAGAGTCGCCCCCAGACCAGATGTCCTGGCCCCTCAGGCGTGGCTCTCTTTTCAGGGTGGATAGCAAACCTCCGGAGTGATTTCTCTCCCCAGAGACCTGGACAGTTGGAACCGCGCTTCCAGGGCGCTACTCCTGGGCCCCTGCTCCCCGGCGGGAGGCCCCCGCTGCTCTCTGCGTGCTGTGCTGTTCTGTCCGGCTCCTTGACACGCCCTCTTGGGCATTTGGAAATGCCATAGCATTGGTGTGTCTTGTTTTCTCTCGCTGGCATCGCCCCTGAGTCTGCACCAAGACCTTCCAGAGATACTTTATCACGTTTTCCCTCTGTACTGAGGGGCACACCAGGTCCTTATATCCCATGGGTGACGCTGGCTCCTGCCTCTCCCGTGGGAGCAGGGAAGGTGGCTATTGTGGTCCTGTCCTGATTTCGGGGGGCAGCTCCTGGTGTGCCCCGATGGAGGCCCTGGGCCCGTCTCACAGGACCCTCACCCCCATGTGGGTCTCGGGTCACGTGGACCCTGCTTTCCCACGACTTCTGAGGTGATCGTGTTCGCTCTCCGATCTGTGGCTGCGTGCGCTGTGTCCGTGGACCTCTTGTGCCGTGGCCACCCCCTGGAACAGACCTGGGCCCAGGCGCCGTGTGTGCCCGGGGTCTGGCCTGACGCGCCCCGCTTGTGCGCCTTTCGGTCATCGGGACGAGGCTGGGCTGATCTCGGCTTCCAGCCGTGAACCTCTTCTGAAAACCTCTTTTTTCTTTTTTCTTTTGTGGGTGGGAGGAAAACGTTAAACTGTTGATTGGGTTTCTAGAACAATCATTATAAATGTATTTAGGCTTTCTTTTTTAACGTCAGTTTTGAAAAGTTATATTTTTCTACAGGTTTGTCCGGCGTCCCAGATTTCACGATACACGGGTTTAGTTGACTTCTGTTCCATTTGTTTGTTTACTAGTCGGAGAACGCGAATCACAAGGTTTCCAGCGCGGTCGGGCCGCCCTGGGCTCTGCCTCATCCTGACCGGGGCCCTTGTCTTTAAGGCCCGCCCACCTCTGGTCGTTGAGACTCCTGTGTGTGCTTGTTTCCCATTTCAGGACTTTTTGCCTTTCTTGTCTTCTCCACGGCTTTACTGAGATTTCACTGACGTGTGATGTTGTAAGGTCGCGGTGTCTGCGGGGACCTTGGGCGCTGGCTGCCGTGCTTGTGGGCGGGAAAGGCCAGCCGGGGAGAGCCTGGTGCTCCCGCACGCTAGTGAGCTGGGGGTGCGCCGGCCCGAGGCCTGGGACCCTCCTCTCAACGTGCTCTTGCCAAATATCTTGTTTCTTAGAAAACACTGAACACAGAATACAGAGTCAGGCAGCTGCGTAAAGCAAGTGCGCAGCTTGACGGTTACTGCAGGGCAGACACTTGTAACACCACCTTGTGGGAAGGGAGGGCTGACCCGCCCTTCGGCGACCCCTCCCGCCCCCAGGACCTGTGGAGGGACTCGCCGTCTCCCCTTCCCGGGCACCGTGGCCCGCGTGCTTCAGAGTCACGAGTCCTTTGCGGCCTCCTTAGAGGTCCTGCTCCGAGGTGCCACGGGCCTGGCCCCAGAGTCGCTCTGCCCTCCGCCTGCTGCCCGCTGGCTTCACGGGCGTGGGGGACGTGGTGGGCGTGCTGGGTGCGCTGGGTGCTGGCACTGCTCTCCTGGGCACTCACAAGCGCTGTGCGTCCTCTCCTTCCAAGAGGCTTGGGGACATCATGTCCCTGTAGTGAAGGTGGCCG